TAATTTTTCCTGTTAGGATTAAATAAGATGAGCCAATTGTAGTGGCTTAGGATTCCAGGTGGCATGTGTGTTACAGGTTGGGCTGTAACTGCAAGGTCAGCAGTTTGAAACCACTAGCGGCTCTACAGGAGGAAAAACGAGACTTTCTATTTCCATAAAGAATTATAATCTCAGAAACTCACAGGATAGTCCTCTGCCCTACAGGGGGACTGTGAGTCTGACTCCATGGCAGTGAGTATAGTTGTTGCTAGTGTTAGCTTAGCTATTGTTTGTGATCTTTATTGTTGGTCCTCTTCAATTAGGATACAGACAAGATGGTTTCCTTACAAATGAATGTTGATTATCTGCTAATGCAGGCATCATCTTCAACGTCATCTTGTCTCGACTTAACTCAAGTTATCCATTTGAAAACTGCTCATTTCTTTGGAGGCAATGTCCTCGTCAGCGTCTCATAAAGCACCAATGACTTCACCATTCAACCATTCAACCATCCAAACCTCACCATGAATTAGGGGTTTTGTTCTTGCTTCAATTCTAGCAGTATCCCTGTGCTTTGATAGGGAATCTTTTCACACGGATATCTGAACCCTTCTTAGGCCCTCAAACTAGGTGCTGGTCAGGCACTTTTAGCAAGTTTGTTGTTGTTCGGTGCCATCGAGGCAGCTCTGACCCAGAGTGACCCTGTGCACAACAGAAGGAAACGCTGCATGCTCCTGCAGCATCCTCTCAATTGTTCCTGTGCCTGAGCCCATGGATGCAGCCACTGTGTCCATCCATCTCATCCAGCACCTACTTCCTTTTTGTCGCACATCCACTTTGACAAGCATGACGTCCTTCTCCAGGGACTGGTCTCTCCCGATAAAATGCCCAAAATATGTACGACAAAGTCTTGCCATCCTTGCCTGTAAGTAGGACTCTGGCCTTACTTCTTCCACTGACAGATCAGTTTGTCCTTGCTGCTGCAGTCCCTGGTACTTTCAATAGTCTTCTCCTGCACCACAATTCAAATGCATCGGTTCTTCTCTGGTCTTCCTTATTCAATGACCAACGCTCACATGTTTGTGTGAAAGTGTTAGCAAATTTGTGTGACATTCGAGTTTTTTGAAATCCATGCACAGATTCTTATAAAAATGAATTTTCCATGACCTTATCTACCAAAATGTCTAGCCCCTTTCTATGATCATCTATACCAAAATGTTCAATGCATCTTTACTGAATTCAATTTCAGACAAAATCTAGCAAAATTGTAGGAGAACGTACTGTTACGCAGCATTTTTTCCTAAGAGTTCTGCTTGTAAAAGAAAAAAAAAAAGATAACCACCTGTGTGTAACCTACCACTTTTACTAGCGTCTAAGTGTAGTTGGTCACTTGAGTTGATTGTCAGAGTACAAAGAGCAATTTGCTTTAAAATCCTGACTTCATAAACAGGTAAGAAACATTAACAGTCTTGACCTTTTGGTATGTGTGCTTTTGATGTGCCCAAGATTAGGCACAGCACTGAGTAAAAACAACACTAAAAGGAAGAGTGGCAGTGAAGCAAACTTTTGTTCTATAAATACCTAGCCTCACTAGAAATGCAAGCTCATTAATTTGGTCGGAGGTGGGTAGGTGGGGGCCAGGGGTGCAAATGGCAGAATAGCCTAGGAGTCTCAAGTCTAATTGCTTCATAAAGGTCCTCTTCTAAATACTTTTTTTCCCTATATGTTTAAATGATATTTTCTATACTACATTTTTTGCATATTTGCATTTTTAAGAGCTATTAAAAAATATGAAAATTCTTGGGGAGGTGTTAAATTATTTGACTTACATTCAATTATTTGGAGATGTTTGTGTTTTATTTTACAATATAACACTCTGGCTACCTCAACAATGCTTGATTCATTCAGAGTGTATTCAAATCTAAAAGATCAAGATTTGTGCAACATTTCTTTTTAAAGAATTTTAACACTTAACCATTTTAAAAGTAATTTCTTGGTTAGGGTCACATAAAGAATTGTTTTTAGATCATGTTTTAAAAACTAGATATAAATGTTCTATCAGATACACAGTTAATTAAAGAGTAATCTTTTAAGTCTTTCTGGACAGTTCATTTCTTTTTTCAATTCTGATCAACATTGCTATTCTTTGAATTTGATGATATGTCTACAAGTGGGCTTTACCAGTTTCCAAGTATATTTCTCAACCCTTTACACTCTGTGCTTTTGTCTGCATGCTTTTTAATTAAAACCTATCCAGCAGTACTATGGATTGGTAGGAGTGAAGGATCCATTCGGGGTGACAAGCAAAATCACAAGCAGAGCTTAGAGAGTATAATTGGCACATGAAACCTGGGGCGCACCAGGTGAGGGAAGGGCTGGTGAGAGTCAGTGAGGAATTGTAGAAAACAGCCAAGGCAGCAGACACATCAGTTTCAGGAGAGAGTGATGGTTTTGAAAGAAAGGACATTTGAGATTTGTCAAAGAGGAAATTGGTTCCCTACCCCAGTTTGGAGAAGATCATGAGCTAATATGAGAACATGCAAGGCTCAAAGATTTTAAAATTCAGTGTCATTCATGAGCCTTTTCCTTTAGCTTTCAGGGTCTTTGGCTCCTCCTTCATGATTACCGAACCTGTTTCTTCAGTAAATCACGCCTTCCTCATGCCAGACCTGAATGATTCCATTGCTCTTTCTGCCTATGAGGGTTACTTGTTGGGATGATACCCAGAAGGTCAGTAGTTCAAAACCACTAGCCACTCTGAAGGAAAAAGATGAGGCTTTCTACACCCTTATAGATTTACAGTCTCCGAAACCCTCTGGAGCAACCCTGCCCTGTCCTAAAGGATCACTCTACGTTGGAATTGAGCGTTGAGTCTCTCTTCTTAGCATCCTACATATCATCACCATTCTAATATTCCTAGAATTTTGATTTTTACCAGGTAGTTCTCTTGAGAGTTATGAACTTCCCATTTCTATGGAGTTAATTGGAAATTTAGGGAATATCATCACCTGATATCACTTACTTATGACTGCCTTGCTCGCTTCCCCCAGCAATTACCCTCCTCTTTAGCTTGATAAGAAGAGGAAGCTCGTGGCTCTTGCAAAGGTTTTCAGCCTCAGAAACCCTACATCGGTTTACCACCAGTCAGAATTGACTCCATGGCCATGGCTTGGATATTTTTGGTTTGTTTTGGATAGCTTGATAAGTGTCTCCATGATCCTTACGTAAACAATGTTCTATCTCGTGGCGTGATTCTCCTTGTTTAGGGCATTCTTCTCCCTTCTGCCCATCCATGTTTTAAGATCCAGCTCAGGCATCTTTGGCATGGCGTTCTCTACAAATCCCTGTGGGTTTCTCAACTTGACTTTTTTTCTTAAAACATAAATGTGCCATCTGTTTTGTTCATAAATAAATGGCTTGAATTGAAAAGCTGGGGTGGTTTTGCCTCTTCATCTAGATTGTAGTTCCTTGACCAAAGTGTCCAACTCATGTTCATTTCTTGTAGTACCTGACATAGTATGATGGCTATTTTTGCAATAGAGCAAGATTTACCAGTCATGGCCTCATGACATTTTGGGCTAGGTAATTTGTTCTTGTTGGGTGGCTGTGTGAACATTTTAAGATGTTTAACAGCACACACACCCCTCCTAACCAGCCTTTATCCAGTAGATGCAAGTAGCACCCCTTCCTAAGTTGCAGTAACCAAAAAAAAAAAATTCTAGGTATCATCAAATGTCTCCTGGGGAGCAAAAATTCACCCAGCTGATTATTGAAACAGTGGAACCATACCTGTTTTATGAATCTAGTATAGAGTGCTTTAAATCATTGGTGTATAGAGTAGACAAAACGACTTCCAAGTGACTGAAGACATAGGAAAAGCCCGAGAGATGCTGTAAAGCATTTTAAGGTCCTTTTGGAAACATAACTCGTTGACAAAGAGCAGCAATATTAAACTGAGCATTTTGTGCTTTGTATTTGCCATGCTCAACCACAATAGGAGGAGCCCGGGTGGCCTAATGGTTCTGCACTGGACTGCTAACTACAAGGTCAGCAGTGCAAAACCACCACCTGCTCCTTTCTATTCCCTCAAACAATGGCAGTTTTGGAACCCCACAGGGGCAGTTCTACTCTGTCTTATAGGGTTGGTTTGAGCCAGAACCAACTCGATGGCAGTGATTTTGGTTTTGGCTTGGTGGTCAACTGCAGAAATGCAATTATAGATCGATAAGCAGTGTGATGCACCTTGAAGTAAAGGGGAGCCCTGGTGGAAGAGTGAGTTAGTCATGTGTTGGGCTGCTAAATGCAAGGTCAGCAGTTTGAAACCATCTACCTCTCCATCTACTTCCTGGGAGACAGATGAGGTTTTCTGCTCCCATAAAGATTTAGAGTCTTGAAACCCACAGAGGCAGTTCTACTTGATGAGTTTGGTTTGATGTGAAGGTACGGATGATCAATATGATAGTAGAAAAATTCTTAAAGTTCCCAAAAATGTTGGGGCTGAGTGTTTATTTCATTTTGTGTTCCCTTATGTTCAGTAATACCATTTTCAATAACATATTTGCTATAGAATTTAACTTGAAATTTATCTGGATTTCACATCTAATGTCATTAGAATAAAAACTATTTTTTGAAATGTATTGGGAGAGTAAATGTGGAATTATGGATACAAGTAATTGTTAAGCTATAAGTAACTTGACTATCAGTAATATTTATACATAGTCATACATATATGGGTACTTAAGTCATTATTAGGATATCATCCTTAATTTTAGCAAATTGTCTAGGTTTAAGTGACACACACGTGCACACACACATACATATGTATATATATATATGGTTGTGTGTCGTTTAGGTAGTGCTTATCATTTTGCATGAACCGTAATTTTATATCTTTCTGCTACCGTGTTGTAAGTTGTTTTTTATATTTTCCTTTCATTATTAAGCTCGTAAACTGCTGACAGAGACGCTCTGTGGCTGATGCGCTGCTGATATAAAATCACGTGGGTGCTCTCTTTTCACAGCTGTGTGCCAACCCCAGTGCAAACATGGCGATTGTGTGGGGCCGAACAAGTGCAAGTGCCATCCTGGATACTCCGGGAAAACCTGCAATCAAGGTAAGAAACAGCCTGGCACAAAGCCACAATCTCACTCCATCCCTGTTCTTGCCAAGGCTGAACCATGGTAAATTCTCATCCTTACAGGGTCTGGTAGGGCTATTTTTCTCAAATATGTGAGCTACCCTTTTGTGAATAGGTAAAAATATGATGAAAGTAAATGTTGTTCAATTGTTTTCATCAAAGAACAATAAAAATACCATCTTAATCTTAATCTCTACGACTAATTAAAAAAGCTATTTTGAAGAGAGTGTCTACAACAGGAAAGGTAGCTTTGGGCATTACTTGTGCTTCCTTGAACTAATTGAGTGGCCTTAGGCACATTGGTAATCTTTTCGAACCTCAGTATTTACTTTAGGTAAAACCCCATTATAGCAGAAGGCAGGTAGGTTTGCCTTTAAATTTGATGTTTCTTCAAACTCTGAGAACTTTGATTTCATTATGAAATTTCGCTCCATGAGGGGACCAGTTGAAATGTTCTTTTAAGAAATACGTCATTGAATGATTTAACAAATTATATTTCATTGGCATAAGTTACTTATAAAAGCACACATTTATTTAACACTCATCCTGTCCCAGGTATTTCACATATTGAATCAGCACCCATCCTTACAGCAACATTAAGAAATTAAAAAAAGAAAACCTCTCTAAAACTCACTGCCAGTGAGTCCATTCTGAGAAGAGAGATGTTGCTTATATAATTATATTAAAAATAATAACTTATACATCATTGTTCCAGTTTTCAATTGAAAATACTGGAGCCTAA